TCCACAATATTAAATTTAATTCATTTCAACCCTATCCAATTTGCTCCAATCCATACCATGAAATTAATTTAGTCCAATGTGACATGACGAGTGCACCCTATGTTAGAGTAAGAATTCCCAAGCCAACGCCAAGTGAACATTATAGGTGTTAAAAAAAATGCAAAAACCAAACCGAACCGAAAAACCGGTTAACCGAAAAAACGGTTTGGTTACGGTTCGAAAAATGCAAAAAGTCGAATTTCCAGTTTGGGAAAAATTAGAACGGTTAACCAAAAACCGGTTTTCTGAATCGGTTTTCAAATATATATATATATATATATAATCTATATATATAGATAATATATAATATATTAAATAAATAAATAATAACCTTAACCTAAACTAAAATAAATCCCTAATTCACTCAATCTAAAATCTCAACCCAAAATTTTTTTCTCAGTTCCCAAATGCTCGATATTTGTCATCTTTCTTCCAGCTCTAGCAAAGCAACTTCGTCCTTCTCCTTCTTCCAGCTCTAGCGGGCAGCAGCTTCCTCATTTTCTTCCAGCTACAGTAGGCAGCACCACAACAGACCAAGTTTATGATTTCTTCTAATAACTTTCATTTTTCAACTTCAGCTTCGTTGTCTTCTTCCAGCGATTAGGTATCAGAGATCTGGGCTTTTTCAAAAAGTTTATTGATTGTCAACAAGTTTTATAGCACTAAAAGCTTTTCATTGCTGACTGTGTATGGTTCCTTAAATCACTAGACTCCAAAGCTCCTTCCACTATGTAGACTCCCCTGCATCTTGTAGTTTATCCCTTAGGCAAATGTCATGTCCTAATTTATGGTTTCAAGCCAAAAAAAAAAAAAAAAAAAAAAAAAAAAAAAAAAAAAAAAAAAAAAAAGAAAAAAGAAGAGAGAGAGAGATGAATATTACATTAAGAAAAACATTTCCATCTTTACTAAATTCCTTAACTATTTTACAATAATAATTTTCATATGTAAAATGTGATGAATGATACTTGCTGAAGTTACAGCTGAATATTGGAAATCTCCAGTCTGATGTTTCAGTTGCTTTTCAAGTTAATCGTTTCTGATTTGTTTAATTGTGTTATAAATTTACATTGCATTTCAGGTTAATCGTTATTGATTTGTTTGATTGAGATATTGGCCTTATTTAACTTCTGTGTTTCTTGATAATTTTTTGACAAGGAAATGGACTTTTTGCTGCAATTTGAAACCTCTTTTCGTTTGACACATTAGAAAATCTTGTTTCCCATATGATTTTTGATTGAGTTGAAATTTAATGGGATGAAGTTATGAAAATTTATCCCAAATTAGTAGTTGATAAGTCATCATTTGAGTTCATGTATGTCTATGTTTAAGTGACCTTGACTATTATAGAGAGTTTACTTTCAGTAATATTGCAGTTTGGTAATCATGGTCATTGACCTTATATTTGTTTGTCCTACTGCTTAGACAACTCTTTGGTATGTCTAGCTCAGTTTTAGAAATTCTTCTTTAGCCGAAATGCATGTATAATGCATCTTAATATTGCTTGTTCTGAAATTTGGTTCTTTTTTTCAGTTGTATGGACTGCTAGGAAGGTCCTTTCACTTACATTAAGATCTTTAGCCACATGAAAGTCCTATCACTTACAGAAATGGCTAAATGTTTGATTGATGATTGACTTTCTTAGAGTTAAGTATGCTTCCTCTCTCAATCGGACCAATGTTTGTACAATTCTGATGGATTCATTTATTTTTTAAAGAAAAAAAAAAGAAATTGATTTCACCAGATGAGAAGCTTTAGATTACTGATTGATGTTTATGATAATGACAATACTATATGTTGGTCACCTTTAGCACTGAATTTTTACAAAATAATTTGAATTCAATTGGATTGCAAAATGTCTAGTATGATGTACGATTGAATTAGAAGATGGGGTGTTGAGTAAAAACAATACTCCATCACTGCTTGGTAGTTTTTATAGAATTATTTCATGTATCAAACTAAAACATATTTCTTCGTGTTGATGTTGCAGATGTCCAAATCCAATCCCATGGCTGTTGACCATTCTAATACTGATGAGAGTCCTGAGACACCAACTAGTAGGAATCCAACTCCAAACTCATTAGTAGCCCCACAGCCTTCTACGGATCCTGATCCATAACCACGACCACCACGAGTCCCCAAACGTGTAAGTTCTAATACTCGAAAGAATACTTCTGACATGTGGGATCACTTTACTGTAAATCCTTGTGAGAATATGGATGATAGGACAACAACATGTGATTGTTGTGGGAATGTGCTTGCATGTCTAAGTAAAAGTGGTACTAGTTGTCTACGGAATCACTTAAGTCGATGTAAAAAGTACCCTTTGAATGTGATGGATAAGAAACAAATGATCTTAGTTTTTCAACAGACACAATCACATGACCAATCAAGTGGTACTACTGCCACCTCCACACAATCTTCACTTACAACTTAGAAATTCAATCCAGATAGGCTTAGACAGTCTCTAGCTAGAATGATCATTGTTGATGAGTTGCCCTTTAGGCATGTAGAGCGTGAGGGGTTCCGCGATATGATGATGGATGCACAACCTCTATTTCAAGTTCCCTCTCGTATTACTATGGCTAGAGATTGTTTTAATATTTATGTTGAGGAGAGAAATAAGTTGGAGGCCTTTTTTAGTAAGTTTAGTAAGAGAGTAAGTCTTACCACAGATACATGGACATCTTGCCAAAACCTTAACTATATGTGTTTAACGGCTCACTTCATTGATGATGATTGGAAATTGCACAAAAAGATCTTAAACTTTTGTCCAATTGCTAGTCACAAAGGTTTATTGATTGGCAAGGCAATTGAGAGGTGTTTGCTTGATTGGGGTATTTCTAAGGTTTTCACCATTACTATTGACAATGCAAGTTCTAATGATGTTGGAATAAATATCTCTAGAATCGGTTAGAAAGTTGGAAGGATAGTGTTTTGAATGGTGACTTTCTGCACATGAGGTGTTGTGCACATATATTAAGTTTCACTGTAAAAGAAGGGTTAAAAGACATGGAGGACTCCATTTTTAGAATTCGCTCTGCAGTGAGATATGTGAGGTCTTCTCCAGCGAGATTACAAAGGTTTAAAGAGTGTGTAGAGCAAGAAAAGATTGAACAAAAAAATCTTTTGGTTCTTGATGTAGAAACAAGGTGGAACTCTACATACTTAATGTTGGATGTGGCTTTAAAATTTCAGAAAACATTTGAGTTGTTGGAAATCCAAGGCATTAAGTATAAAGATGAACTTACTAGAGCGGAATAGTCAAGGGGTTTGCCTATGCCTAGTGATTGGGAGTATGCCCGTTACTTGTTACCTTTTTTGAAAGTTTTTTATGATGCTACTGTACGTGTGTCGGGCTCACTTTTTGTTACCGGCAATGCATACATGCGCGAGATCTTTGCCATTGGAATGCAGATTTCAACATGGTGTAGAAGTAATGATGTTGGCTTGAGTACTATGGCTAGGAGAATGAAGGGAAAACATGATAAATATTGGTCAAATATTGATAACATCAACTTAATGTTATTTATTGCAGTGGTGTTGGATCCTAGATGGATATGTGAATTGGGTTATTAGTAAATCCTATGATGATGCTAATGTTGAACTTTTGAAGACAAAAAAGTGCATACAACTTTATACTCTTTATTTGACCAATACAAGCTCATTTATAATTCTCCAAGTGGACAATCTAGTCAACAGTCTTAACAAGCAAGTCAGGTTAATGTGGAAGATGTAAATGTTGATCCTGAAGAATTGATATATTGTATGTACGATGAGGCAATGGCTAGACAGGAAGTTACGGTGACCAAATCTGAGATGGATAAATATTTAGAGGATGAATGTGAGCAGCGTCACAAGGATAACATGTTTGATATCTTGAGTTGGTAGAAAGTCAATTCAAATAGATATCTAGTTCTCTCTTCGATAGCACGAGAGGTGTTGGCTATGCCGATTTCTACTATTGCATCTGAGTCAGCGTTTAGCACTGGGGGTCATGTATTAGATCCATTTTGTAGCTTCCTCACTCCTAAGATGGTGGAGGCTCTTATTTTGTACACAAGATTTGATTCGGGCTACACGTGAACCATTCATGATTGAGGAGAGCTTGGAAGAGATAACAGAGCTTGAGTCAGGTAAAGTTTTTGTTTTAGTTTCAATTATTGGTTATTATGTTGACTTTATTGGATTTATTGACTGAATTTTGAATTTAACCATTATTTATATGACCTATTTTTTTTTTTGTAGAATTTGTGTCTTCGGCAATGGAAAATACTACTTGTATTCATCTTAATGATTGAAGGTTTTGTAGCATTTAATGGAGGTTTGATTGCTTTAATAGTTTTTTATTGTAGGCAATGAAAAAAAATATGATTTAATTTTTATAAACTTCTAACATTTAATTTTTATTTAGGCAGAAATTGGGAGATCTACTCGTATTGACTTAATGTTGGTTTCCGCTTTCTACTTGTGGAGTTGCATTTGCCCAATTTCTTTTGCTGTTTTCCATTGGGACTTATTTATTTATTTTGTTGTTTTATTATGGACTTTTATTTTTATTTCATTTTGGACTTTCATTTGTATCAATTTTTAATTTATTATTAGTAGTGGTAAATGGATATGTATGAATGTTTAATTTTTATTTGGATATGTATTGTCTATATTTATAATTTAATTTAGGACAAAATTAAAAAAAAAAGTTTTATCAAAAAAAAAAAAAGGGAAAACCGGTTAACCACTTTTTTTAAAATGGTTAACCGGTTTTTCGGTTAATTAAAAAAACTGGTTTTCCTTAAAACCGATTTGGTTTTGGTTTGAGAATTTTTCTAAATCGAAAATCTGATTCGGTTCAAAAAAATGATTAGCCGATTCGATTATCCGCTTTTGAACACCCCTAGACTGGACATAGCTTAATAGTGAAGTCTTAATATTGAGATTTTAGTATTCATTATCATTACTTAATATTCACACCTTGTGTATTCTTCATCCTCCTCATTTCACAAACGAAATTAGAAAAAAAAAAAAAAAAATCCGAAATAGATCAATCGTATTTGTAAAAACGATGACAAAGGAATTCACGGTGCCACCTGTGATCTTTCCCGCTGGGGGCAATCCTTCTGCCACCAGCAACATCAACCAACGCCAAGTCCCAACGGCCCCGTTTCAGCCCAATCGCGCTGCCAGCTCTTCTATCCCTTTTATGTCATTTGATATCGGTTCCGCCTCCGCATTTGCATCGTACGGTGGTTCTATTGCCTCGTCGACATCGTCCCTTGGTGGCCCAGCTTCATTTGATGACGAAGAACCTCTTCTGGACGAGCTTGGCATCCACCCTGATCAAATCTGGAAAAAAACCAAATCGATTTTAAATCCATTTCGAGTGAATCCCACTGTCCATAAAGACTCCGATCTTTCAGGCCCAATTTTTCTCTACCTTTCTTTTGGTCTCTTTCAACTCCTGGCCGGAAAGCTCCAATTCGGCGTTATTCTTGGATGGATTGTGGTTTCGTCAATCTTTTTGTACGTCGTTTTCAATATGTTAGCTGGACGAAATGGGAATCTCGACCTGCACACGTGTACTAGTGTGATTGGCTACTGTATGCTTCCGGTGGTGATCCTAGCGGCATTGTCCTTGTTCTTGCCTCAGGGCGGGCTTGTTCGACTGGTGGTGGCTGCAGTTTTTGTTCTTTGGGCTACAAGGGTTTCAACCAATCTGATGGTTTCACTCGCTGATGGAGGAGAGGAACATCGAGGATTGATTGCGTATGCCTGTTTCTTGATTTACACTCTTTTTTCGCTTCTTGTTATATTTTAACTTCAATACAGTGAGTAATTGATTGGTATTGAATGGAACTGAATTTTGTATTCAAAGTAGAGAATTTCTGGAAGCTGTAGCTGTATATGAATCTCTTTTGATATGGTATTGAATTGAACTATCTTTAGAGTTAATACAAAATTGAAAAAGTATAATAATTCATACAATCAACTTGCTATTCTAAAATACATAAATTCCCAACTCTCAAATCATTAAAAGAGCAAATATAAAAGTCAGTGACAATGTTTATGGATGATTTATCAGTTACTATGTTTGTATACTTGCGGGGTAAATGCTTCAAACTTGCATATTGTTCAAGACTTTGTTATAGGAAAGCTCTTTCTTTTTATTTTAGCGTTAATTTTTATTTTGCATGAGCTTTTTAGTCTAAGTTGTATCATATTACAAAAGCCAAAGGACTGCTTGGAGTATGGTGCTGAATTTATTGGAGTCTAGAGGATATATGCGAATGTACATTAGATTGATTTAATTATTTAAACTTAAGAGAATTCAGTTGGGATGAAGACTTCATCTTCTCATCTGCTTCTAGTCATCTCATTTTCTTTGAAAAATATCTCATCTTCTTGACTTATCATTTATCTTGCTTTATGAGCAAATTGCAGGTCGTGCACTATTTTTCTTATAACTTCTGTTGTATTCAATTTTATATTTTGCATAAGCTGTAAACTATGTTCTGATACCTGAATCAGGATAGGATTTGTGGGTTAATAGTACTTTCAATAGTTTTCTCATATTTGGTAGTTTTCAAGGAAGTGGATATTTATATAATGATGATGGATCCTCATTATTGAGTCATGCCAGGCTGATGAGCCACTTTGGAGGCTGGTCTACTGTAGGAAGGGTAGAGGTGAGAAGTAGAGGAATATTTGTTATGCATGAGTGTTAGGAGTTGTTTTTGGGAGGACAGGTGGCTTAATGAGATTGGAAGGATGAAGAATTTGGTTATGAGCAAAAGGTGTCAGGGAATAAAAGTGAGGGATATTCAGAAGGAAGGTTAAGGTTTAGGAGGGGAGGTGATTGACCCTCGAAGTTCAGTCTTTATCTTTGTTTTTGCTGTACTTAGAATTGTTCCATTTTGCTGCTAGATTGCTAGGTAGATGATAGAACATGATCCTCTGGATGTACTGTTCTGTTTTAATATCAATATAGAGTTTATTTCCTTTTCTTTCTTGTGCTTATTGATTGTTTGAACTGGTATTGGATAGATTGTTTGTGTGTATCTTGGTGGTTTAACAGGTCAGTGTTCTATCAAGTGGGTATCAGAGCATTGATTTCTAGGAAGTGGTTGTGATGAGAATGGATTCTAGAATGGATAAAGTTGAGAAAGAAGTTACCAAGTTAGGGGTTGAAATGGGTACTATTCGAGAATGTTTGGTAGAGATACAATCCTAAATACTAAGAAAGGACGAAGAAGAAGCTGGCAGAATGGAAATGCGTTCATCGGGAAATGTTCGCTGTCACAAAGTGCAAAATCCTAATGGAGCTAGTGGGATTGGTGACAGTGGCCAAAATTGAAGTGAAGTTGGAGGACGAAAACTGGAAATGCCAATATTCTTCGACGAGGACCCTTACGGATGGATTTTTAGAGTGGAGCGTTACTTCAACCTTAACAGAGTATCTAAGGAAGGTAAACTGACAGCAGTGGCCATTTGTATGGAAGGTGAGGCCATCAATTCGCAAGAATCCCTAAAACCAACCCATGTTTCCAACTACAACCAAAGAACACCAGAATCATTGATACATAGTTCGTCACCCAATTACCTCCATCGCGACCAGCCACCATCTTCTTTTTGATCCTTTGAGCGACCAACCTTCCAACATAAAGATTTTCCATTTAGAAAGATGACAGATGCAGAAATCCAAAAGAAAAAAGAGAAGGGCCTTTGTTTTAGATGTGACGGTAAGTTCTTCCTTGGACACAAATGTGGTAAAAAAAAGTTTCAAATCATCTTAATTGATGAAGAGGAAGATGAACCAGAATCTATTGGTGGTGGAAAAACAGAGGAACCTGAATTCGAGCATCAACAAGGTAATGTCGAACTTTCTCTCAGTTCGGTGGTGGGGATCAACGGCCCGAAGACAATGAAACTTAGAGGGAGAATCAAAGGTAAGGAGTTGATAGTATTGATTGATAGTGGGGCTTCCCACAATTTTATTAGTTTTGAGGTAGTTAAAAGATTGGGGATACTGATAGTGGGAACTCAGTCTTTTGGGGTTAGAGTGGGTGATGGGTATAGTGTGAGGTGTGAAAGGGGAGTGTAGAGATGTTTGTATGGAGTTACAAGGTGTTACCATCGTTCAAAACTTCTTTCCATTTGACATGAGTAGTGCTAATGCTGTTCTGGGAATTGCGTGGCTGGAGACTCTAGGTGAGACAGTTACTAATTGGAGAAAGCAAACAATAAGGTTTAAATTGGGAGATTAGACCGTTAGTTTGTGTGGGGATCCATCACTTAACAAAACAATGGTATCTCTCAAGGCTATGATTAAGGCATTGCAATGTGCGGGGCAGGGTTGTTTGATAGAGTTTGGACAGATTCAGAAACAGTATGATGAAAATGGGGATATTGATGATTGACTACTGGATGTGTTGGAGAAATTTAGTCAAGTTTTTAACCCACTTCCAGGACTACCACCTGCCTGATCGAGAGACCACACCATTCAATTAGTTCCAGGAACTCTACCACCAAACGTTGGACCTTATAGGTACCCTTACTATCAGAAAAATGAGATAGAGCGCATTTTCAAGGAAATGTTGGCCTCTGGGATTATAAAGCCTAGCATAAGTCCATTCTCAAGTCCTATTTTATTGGTACAGAAGAATGATGGGGGGTGGAGATTCTGTGTGGATTATAGGGCAGTTAACAAGGTAATAGTTCTAGACAAATTCCTGATTCCAGCTATCGACGAGCTATTTGATGCGTTAGAAGGGGCAACGGTGTTTTCCAAGCTTGATTTGAAATCAGGCTATCATCAAATCAGAGTTAAACCAAAGGACACAAACAAAATAGCTCTCTGAACCCATGAAGGGCACTATGAATTTCTAGTTATGCCCTTCGGCCTAACCAATGCACCATCCACCTTTCAAGCATTAATGAATGAGGTCTTCAAGCCGTATGTGGGAAAGTTTTTGTTAGTTTTCTTCGATGACATATTGATTTACAGGAAGGAGATGGGTGAGCATGCAAGGCATCTAAGCATTACCTTATAGACACTGTTAGATAATCAATTGATGGTCAATAAGAAGAAATGCATTTTTGGGCAGCAACAGTTAGAATATTTGGGGGATGTAATCTCAGCAAAAGGAGTGGCAAAGATAGAGAGCATTATTAAATGGCTAGAGCCAAGGGACATTAGAGCACTTAGAGGGTTTCTTGGTTTGACGGGATATTATTGATGATTTGTTCGGGATTATGGTAAGATAGCCTTCCCACTATTAAAGAAAGATTCGTTTGTGTGGAATACAGCAGCTCAAGGTGCTTTTGAAGAATTAAAAGACTCATGATGAGTGTTCTAGTCCTCAGAATGCCTAATTTCACAAAGGAATTTGTCATAGAGACGGATGCTTCCGGGAGTGGTTTTGGGGCTGTGTTGATGCAAGAGGGGCGACCTATTGCCTTTCTCAGCAAGGGTTTGTCTCTAAATTCCAAACTTAAATCAGTTTATGAGCAAGAATTAATGGCCATAGTCATGGCTATGCAAAAATGGTGCCATTATCTTTTGGGAAGACGTTTTGTTATTAGGACTGATCAGAGAAGTCTTCACTTCTTAACTGACCAGAAATTGTTGAGTGAGAATCAGCAAAAATGGATTATCAAGTTATTGGGGTTAGACTTTATAATTCAGTACAAACTTGGGCTACTAAAGGCGGCAAATGCTCTCTCTAGAATGCTAGAAGTTGTCGAAAACCATGCTCTCTCTATGAGCTGCTTCTCGGGTATAACAGATTTAGAAGATGCCATTCATCAGGGTGACAAGTTACGTGGGATCATGCAATAGCTTTTGGTCGACCCAAATAGCCATCCTCATTTCAGATTGGTAGGACGACATCTATTGTATCATGTCAGGTTGGTGGTGCCTAAATTTGGGCCTCATATCCAGAAAATATTACACGATTTTCATTCCTCGCCCATTGGGGGCCATTCGGGTTCCTTTCGGACATATAAACGCATCACAAATGTAGTGTATTGGGAGGGGATGAAGAAAGATATTAAGGAGTTTGTGGAAGCCTGCACTATTTGCCAACAGAACAAATACGAAGCCTTGAGTTTAGCAGGTCTGCTACAGCCACTGCCTATTTCTAAACAAGTGTGGGAAGATGTCTCTATGGACTCTATTATGAGGCTTCCAAAGGCTCATGGGGTAGATACCATTTTTGTAGTTGTTGATCGTCTTACAAAATATAGCCATTTTCTAACTTTCAAGCATCCTTACACAGCTATAGGGGTAGCTGATCTGTTTATCAAAGAGATAGTGCGGCTGCATGGGTTTCCTTGCACCATTGTTTCAGATTGTGATAAGAGTTTTCATGAGCAACTTTTGGGGAGAATTATTTAAACAATCAGGAACCCAATTGCACATGAGTTCAGCTTACCACCTGCAAACGGATGGTCAAACCGAGGTGGTAAATCTATGTTTGGAGACGTACCTCAGGTGCTTTGTCAATAGCCAACCCCAACAGTGGCCGAGATGGGTTCCGTGGGCAGAGTTTTGGTTCAACACGACTTATAGTAGCTCCACAGGTATGTGTCCATTTAAGGCTTTATATGGTCGCTACCCTCCAACGGTGTTGAAGCATACTGACCACACTTCCTCAGTCGATGAAGTCGACCAACAACTCCGAAGTCGCAACAATATAATCGAGGAGTTAAAAGAGAATCTCCTCAAGGCTCAAAACCAAATGAAGACTTATGCTAATAACCGACAGAGAGAAGTTACGTTTGAGATAGGGGAATCGGTGTATTTAAAGTTACTGCTCTATAAATTAAGATCTCTAGCTCGTTGGTATAATGAGAAACTTAGTCCGAGGTTTTATGGTCCATTTGTGATCAAGGACAAAATTGGGGAAGTAGCATATAGGCTGGCATTACCTCCCTCAGCTCATATTCAAGACGT